GTGTAAAATAAATGATTTCCTAGGTAGCTTCTCGCTTTGCAATCCTATCATCCTATGATATTTTGCACCCAAGCAGATCTTTGCTATAAGGGCTTAAAGTATTTTAAAGAGAACTTCAAAACACTAGCAAGATTTGTATCCCAAGCCTTGAACCTCAGACACACACATCTGATGTAGCCTCGTACCCTCTCCACCTCCCCTCTCCTTCCCCGGGGGGGGGGGGCGGAATGAACCGGCCCTTTTCTTTACTAAGGCTTCTCGTACTCAACGCGCTCCAAAACCACCTGAGTATCTGGTTAAAATGCAGATTCTAGTTCAGTAGGCCTGGGGGCTAAGGCTGCTTCTCCAACAAGCACTCAAGTGATGCAAACGCAGCTGGTCCACACCCCGCTAAAGAATCTGGACCCGTTGCTCTAGGCCGGCCGGATGCTGGGGCCCCTCCTCCTGCTCCCCTCTCTCCAGCTTCCACCCCCACCTTAGCATGGCTGCAGCCTCGAAGTCCGGCTTCTTCACTTTAAAACCTGATTCCAGAGAGCTCTGAGCTCCAGTGGGGAGGGGCACAGCCTAGACTGACCGCGGGTGCCCCCCTCCACTTCCCTCTTCCCGCCTGGGCTCCCGGACCCCCACCCCGGACGCCCCCTCTCCCCCCACCTCTGTCTCGCCCTCTCGGCTTGCAGAGGAGAACCGGTGACGGAAGTTTCCCGAAAGAACCCGCCTCCACCCACCTCGGCGCCCCTCCTCTCGGCGGCGGGGGCCGGAGCCCGGAGCCGGGAGCCGCGTCCCCGGCGAGACGCGGGGTGGCGCCCGCTGGGGGGCGCGCCGGGGCGGAGCTGCCGCCGACTTCTTTCTGCCGCGTCCTCCGGGCGCCGCGACCTGCGGAAAGGTCTAGCAAAAAGGAGGGTCCCGGACTCCTCCCCCCTTCCCTTCCCCACCCCACCCCACCCCCAAAGGACTGGGATTCCTGGTGAAGAAGGGTGTCACCCAGTCTGCTCTGAAGTGTTTTAAGTCTCGGAACTTTACTATTTCCGGGGGCGGGGTGAGGATGAGGGTCTTAATAGCTAAAGACTTGGCACCCCTCCCCCCTCCGCCCACCCCCGGTTTTGCCCGTTTGCGGAGATTGCGCTCAGCTGGGGGGGTGCGGGACGCACGCCCAGCAAAGTTCCCCGCAGAAAGCATCCTTGGGCTCCGCCTATTTACGAGCTGGAAGCAGCAGCTTTGGGGGACCCTCCGCCGCCCCCCTCCCCCCAACGCTTCTCGTCTCTTCTAGTGGGATGGAAAGAAGATGAGAAAACAGCTGTGACCGGCGGCGACGGGAGGGTGGGGTCGCTCTGAGGCAGAACTGAATGCGCAGAAATCCCAGAGGAATCGCGGAAAAGTGATTATCAGAGCGTTTTGATTTTTCAAAGCCTTTTGTCTCGGTTAGCTCCTTAGATTCTCACGGGTTAGGGAGGTTTGTTAAAAAGATGTTAAAAAAATATGTTAAAAATGCTACATATTTCCAGTGTAATCCGAAAACACCATCTAAAGCGCTCAGTCCTGTCTTGAAACACGATCCAGCTCTTCACAGAGGAGCTGCGCCGTGGGCTGTCGGGAATCAGTCCCTGGGAGGGAAGAAAAGGGGCTGATCCTGGTGGTCTCTCTTCTTCCCCCAACGTGGCTGGGGTGGGGGGCGGTGCCTCGGGGTATCTTGCTGCCAGGGGTTCGTCCTGGGAAGATGAGAAAGATGCCCTGATCTACAAGTTGACCTCCATCTCCTCAGGAAATACGCTTTGCCGCTGGGTTTTGTTCTCCTCCCCCACCTAGAAACACACACAGGAGAACGAGAGTGAGAGAGACTCTCAGCTGTAAGCCACACATCATTCTCGGTTTAAGACAAAATAATTGGTGTCAGACGTGTGAAATTGGAGGGCGATTCTGAGGTGAGAGTGACATGTACCACCTTCCTCCAGGCACAGACGCAAAGTGTTGATCAGAGTTGACCGGGTTCTGAGGACAAAGAGCCCTGGTAAGGCTGCACCAGGAGAGACCTGATTGGTGAACCAGGCCTCCAAAGGGCCACGCCAGTGACTTCGGAGGGAAGGATAAGGTAGCCGGAGACTCAGCTTTCCTCTCTGTTTTCCTTCTGGGTGCCTCCTGCCTGCCCTCAATTCCTCCCAGTCCCACCTGAATAGCAGAAACCGAGAAAGTGTGATTTCTGAGAGTGCTTTAGCCACAGTGGAGAGTGGGCTGATTTCAGCTTCTACAGCATCCATGGGGCACTTCGGGGGGGTGGGGTGTAGGCGCATAGCCCTTAAACAAATGGCCCCTCCTCAGGCAAAGCAACCCCTGGGATTTTTTTTTTTTTTTTTTTGAGTGAGGGGTATCCTCAGCTCGCTATTCTGAGATGGGAGAGACAGGAATCTTGCTGTTCCAGTCAGGAGCCTCACAGCCCTGCGTTTCTCCCTGGCCACCTGTAAAGCAACACTTTGCTCAAACTCGAGGATGATTTAAACAAAATGGTAGAAAAGTGCTCCCTTTAACCCACTGGCAAGCCGGACGGCAGAGGAGAGTAAGTGTGATGTTCGGTTAAGAGCATGGACTTTAGAGCTGGCCAGGCAGGTTTGAATCTCAGCCCTGCCACAAACTAGCTTTGTGACCCAGGTCAAGTTACCGAACCTTGATTCCTCATCTGTAAAATCGGAATGATAATCATACTGGACTGAGAACATTGTCATAGGAAAGAAACTGATGAGTTAATATATACAATGCACTTAGATCAGTGCCTGGGACACAGTAACCAATCTGACAGCACTAGAATCTCCATGTAGGAAAAAAGTGATCAAGTTAATTGCTTACCAATTTAATGTTAGGCATGAAACATCACACAAAGTTTCTTTTTAGGTGATGGATTTTAGTGCAGAGATAATATTAATATGTGTGTCTCCCATTCAGCCATTAAGCTTGACCTTCTAAAAGTTTTTCAGGAAATTTTCAATCTAGAATGGATCTGAGAAATCACGTGCTGGACCCTTATGTAACTAAGGAGATTGAGGCCAGAGTTGGGGTGGGGACAGCCAGTCCCCCCACAACAAAAACACTAGAATCTATAATAGACACATGAACATTTTTGGCAAATAAGACATACAGATGACCAATGGGCACATGAAAAGATGCCCAAAATGTCAGAGAAATGCAAATCAAAACTAAAACAAGGTATCACCTCACACTGGTCAGTATCGCTATTATTAAAAGTCCATAAACGATAAATGCTGGAGAGGATGTGGAGGAAAGGGAACCTCCTACACTGCTTGTGGGGACATAATTTGGTGCAGCCGTTGTGGAAAACAGTACGAAGATAGCTTTAAAAACTAAAAAATAGACTTACCATATGATCCAGCAGTCCCACTCCTGGGCATATATCCAGAAAAGACAAAAGCTCTAATTCAAAAAGATACATGCACCCTAATGTTCAGAGCAGCAATATTTACATCATCCAAGACATGGAAAGAACCTAAATGTCCATTAACAGATAAATGGACAAAGAAGTGGTATATACATACAATGGACTACTACTCAGCCATAAAAAAAAGAATGAAATACTGACATTTGTAGTAGCATGGATGGACCTAGAGATTATCATGTGAAGTAAGTCAGACAGAGAAACACAAATATCATATGATATCACTCATACGTGGAATCTAAAAAAAGTGACATAAATGAACTTATTTTAAAAACAGAAAGAGACTCACAAACATAGAAAACAAACTTATGATTACCAAAGGGGAAGGCGGGGATCAATTAGGGGCTTGGGATTAACAGATACACACTACTATATATAAAATAAACAGCAGGGACCTACTGTATAACACAGGGAATGATAGTCAATATCTTGTAATAACCTATAATGAAAAAGAATGTATATATGTATAACTGAACCACTGTAATAGTTATATAGATGGTTATTATAATGTAATAATCTATATGAAAAAGAATATATAGAATAGACACTTGATTTTTGGTTCTCTGCTCTTTCCACAAAGCGTTAACTAGCCTGGGACTGATTACTGAATACTCTTGGCTTTCTAGTCATCCCGAAGGCATTTTAATCAATCAAGAAGGTATTAATGCAATCAACATTTATCATGCTCTACTATGGTAGGAACGATGCTCAATGCTGGGGTAAAACTGTGAGCAAGGCGTCTGATTGCCATGCTTATGAGGACCACACTATGCCAGGGGACACAGACATTTACCCAATGATAATGGAAATGGATGTCGATTCCAACTGTGTGATAGTCTACAAGTTCTCATGAACGCATTTAATAGAGGAATTTGGCCCAGTCAGAGAAGGCTTCCCCAAGGGGATGACAATTGAGTCACCAAAATCTGGGTGAGGTTGAGAGAAAGATAGAAAAGATGAGTGCTCCAGACAGAAATCAGCAAAACTCCCTGTGGCAGGAGGGAGAGCAGAGTGCTAGGTTTGCCCCTCCCCGCAGAAGTGGGGGAGGGGCGAGGGGTTACCCACAGGATGAGGACCAAGCAGTAGTTTGGGATCAGGTCTATACAGACCTTGAAGATAACCTTAAAGATTTGGGGTTTTATATGAAAAGAACTGGGAAACTATTGCAGGGTTTTCATCAAAAAGACGTGATCAAAATTCCTTTTCTTAAAGATTAGCTTACTCTAGTATGCTGATCGAAGGCCAAGAGTAGGCACTGGGAGGTTCCTTAAGGTAATGGCAGGGTACATAGAGAAATGTGGATGGATTCTAGACATGCAGGCAATAAAATCAGTAGGACTTGGTGACAGATCAGACCAGAGGGCTTAGGGAGAGGAAATGGGAAGAATGATGTCATGCTCAGTCTCTGGTCTGCAGAATTGGATGGCTGGACAGTGGCGTCATTAACTAGGGAAGGGAATGCAGAACAAAAACTAGAGTGTGGGGGGAGCAGAAGGGAGAGGGAGAATGATCAAGGTACCACACTTGAGGAAAGTTTTTTAAAGACTTCAAATCCATTTAGTTTAGGTTTTTCAGTTTTTTATTATGGCACACAGGATAAATGATGGTACAGTGCTCTCACTTCAAGTCATTCTCAAACCAACCAGCTGTTTCCATTTGGCTAAAGTTACTTTTTCACATGTAATTTGCATCTGTTTGAGATTTACCATGTGCAGCATCCCATGTTGAACAAACATAAATGTGAAAAGCTTAGTCTCGGAGGTAACACCTCATCTCTACAGAAGCCAGTGTACTCAGAATCCTCATAGTTCAAATCTGTAGCATCATGGCAGGTAAAGAAATATTTTACCCATTTGCTTTGGTGACAGATATTTAACTAGAAATATATAGTGTGATTGGATCAGGTAACTTTAAATGGAGACCACTTTGCTTCCCCATTAAATTCATGACTTTTGAAAGTTGTCTAAACAATCAATATTGAACAAAATTAGTTGACAAAGCAATCGTGTAAGAACAGAAGCAGAACAGCGGGTAGCCAATAATTTCATCTACATTCCACATTAAGTGCAAACGCAAGAGCTTTCGTAACTTTACAGTGAGCAGGGAGGACGGACGGGGTGTGTATCTAATGCAATGTCCAACCAGTTAGAGCTATAATTGAAGTCCAAATATTTCCCAAGAAAGACATGCAGAGCAATGACACTGTAACATACAAATATACAATCCCCCTGTCAGTGACTGATCACGATTTCATTATCTGTACCTGTAGTTCTTAAAAAGTTTAAAATAGGTGGCATTAAAGGGTATTTACTTGAGGCAACAGAATTAAGCTAACAAGACCCTAAATCATGAGCTCAGGATTGCAGGCAACATGTTTATAAAGGCGAATGCAGTTTGATATCCTTACTCTTCTCCATCCAAAATTATACATGGATAAAAACATTCCTTCTGATTACATCATTTGCTTGGCTTTCCACTTCTGCTCATGACATTTGGAATAGATATTTTAAATGTGGTTATAGGGTGAATTCATATCCCATCCATTTTGCATTTCTATACTAGTATTAAAGTTACCTGTTTACCATAAAAGGTGTATTTATCACAAAATTTCAGAACTGCCTCCAAAAAGCCATTCCCAACACTGTATAATACACTTATGGGGCAAAGTATATTGCTATTTATAAAAGAAAGAGAACCCGAGCGACTCATTTACTCAGGCTTATTAGAGGTAAAACTTTTGAGGGGAGAGATTTCATGAATGGTCATGACCTAATTCCATCCTGTGAATTACCGGGGGGGGCAGGGATGCACTGAAATTGTTGTAATTTTGACTTCAAGAAATTTGGAGGTCACAGTCCACTTGTATATGTCTTGTATCCATGCCCTCCCTCATTAAGATACTTGAATTAAGTCAACCACCACAGCAAGAAATGTCATTCAGTGTAACTTTATTTACTATTTATTGCACATAATTCGAGGTCTTTAATTTCTAACCACCAAAGGTTCAAAGGACTATTTTTTCCACAAAGTTTAACATTAACATTAGTGAATTCATTTACTTGTGGGCTTTTTACTGTATTGTAAACATCTGAATTATTCACATCGCCATAGATCCTGAACTCATAAGCGTGGACCATGCACAGGCTGGCAGCAAGCCAGAAAGCCACTGGGCAAGCAAACAGATACTCTGCGGAAGGAAAAGTCGTAGCACATTTAATGTCCAACCTAAGTCATCTCAGAATTAGACGTATATTGACTTCTTAATTCATATAGTATCTGGAACTCAACTGGTTGGTTGGTGATGGGGTTGACCTGATTTCGGGAGAATGATTCCTGGAATAATTAAGGGAAGGAGTGGGGCTCAATCTTTCTTCTTGGTTGCTTGTTCCTCGCCAGCACCTTCATCTTTCTTCTCCTCCTCCTCAGCTTCTTTGGTTTCTTCTCCCCCTTCGCCTTCACCTCCCTCTTCTTCCTCCTTTGCCTCCTCAGATTCCTCCTTGGCAGCTTTAAGATAAAAAGAAAAGGTACAAACTCCAAATCCAGGGGTCAGTCCAGTCAAAACATTTCTGCTAAGGTTTCATGGAGGAACACAGACGTCAGAACACCTGCCCCCAACCTCTCAGCATCTCTCTCTCAAAACACAGGCAATAGACAATGCTTGCCAGGAATAACTGGCCACTGAACACATATTTAAGTAGAATGAGGTTTCATCTAGGTCCTGGGAGCTCTGCTCTCCGCCAGAACTTCGGTTTTTCTTTAGTTATGTGTTCAGTTTTCATTTTTGTCTCGTAGGACACGAAACTGCTCAGTTAAATGAATAGACTGTAAAATGTATAATAGGAATAAAAAGACAGCAGGAGAAGGATTTTTTTTTATGTTATTTTCAAAATGTACCAAGCTAATCAGAGAAGCGTGTCTCTGGGTGGACTGTCAATTTGAGAAAGGAGGTGCTCACTAAAGGCTGGTTGAAGAAATAGATAAATGTACTATTTCAGATTCAGAACTCATTATGAATGAAACTTCCTCGGCATAAGCAAGGCCTCATTTATCTTCTCCAGCTCCTAACAGATAACCACGCCCAGACTGCACTGGAAGTTTACAGTGTTTTCTGTTTGTTTGTTTCAATCCTACCTTCTTCCTCTTGGGCGCCCTCCTCTTCCTCGGCCTCAGCCTCAGCCTCAGCCTCCGCCTCGGCCTCAGCCTCTTCCTTCTCCTTCTCCTCCTCAGCTTCTCCTTCGGAGGCAGGTTCCTCCTTGGCTTCCTCAGCTTTTGCAGCCTCAATGGTCTCCTCCACCTCGATCTGCTCCTCCTGGACGTGGCTGGTGTAATAGGACGGGAAGGAGCGGGCGGACATCAAGTAGGAGCTGGTCTGTAAACCGCCATAGGCAGATCGGCCAAAGACCTGGGTGCTCTGGGAGTAGCCGCTGGTTATGCTTCCCACGCTGGTGAAACTGAGCCGGGTCTCCTCACCTTCCAAGAGTTTCCTGGGGAGGCAGGGGGAGGGTGGGGTTGACAAACATGAACAAAGGAATTGTGCTGAGCAGACCACTCATTACCTTCCCCAAAACACCACCATTAAAGGCAAAGGCAGGTAGGAACAGGGTTGGAATTCTCAAAACTCAATGACTGAGGATGTTGTGAATGAGACTAGAGGGGGGAAAAAAAACCCTTAAAATAGTCCTATTAGACTTAAAAATGGAATGGGAAGCTAAGAACAGGTCACATTATTGCAGGATTAAAGTCTTCTTGGAAAAGGCCACAAAGTGAACACAATTTTTCAAAGGACTATTCCTGAAGGTTTCTAATTCAACTCAAAGGAAGTCTGAAGTTCTTCCCAAGGCAGAAGGGCTGTTCCCTTCGCCCCTCCAGTCTTACCTGTAAGCTGCAATCTCAATGTCCAAAGCCATCTTCACATTCAGAAGGTCTTGGTATTCCTTCAGGTATCTTGCCATTTCACTCTTCGTGGTTCTCAGTTCATTTTCTAATTTGTTGATCGTGTCCTGTCGGGGGGAAAAAAAGAAAAGAAATCCAAGCATAAATCCCTATGGCTATTATTTTACTACAGCATAGCTGCAAAGGCCTAGGTTTAATTAAAATCAAACGTGCACACCTTAGATAAAAATCTCCCCTAGCAACTGCCTTTTCTCTTTTTACACCCTTCTTTGCTTGACCTAAAAAAAAAAAA